ATGGCGTTGTCAGTTTGTCTTTGAATAATAAGTTTGAATATCACTTTGGAAATTTAATTCCGCGATTTTACAAAAATCATGAGATTCAAATTTGATAAGATGAAAGATTATATTTTAAACTAATACGTATGCACATCCGTACAATTTAATGAGATTCTTGATCGGGGGTAGAGAATTCCTCTATCTAACCAAGAAAACCATTATGTCTGCTGTATAATTCACCTTCTTCTATTATATAAAATTGAAAACTTTCCTAACAGAACAAGTACCGATTTGCATATTTGTAAAATTTAATGTCAGAGGTACACACAGTGGCGGATGGGGGGGGGGGGGGGGGGGGGGGGATTTTGGACCCCCTTTTGTTAATAAGGACATACGGTTGGATCCCCTCCCTTTATCCTTGGTTGGGAACCCCCATTTAAAATGACTGGATCAGCCACGTGCACTGTACACAGATTTAGTCCGCATTGTTTTCCAGGCAGAAAAGACCACCACTGTTACTCATTTTTATAGTTGTAAGTATTTACGCTAAATTTTGTTAATAAAGATAGGAACAGTTACAATTGTGTGGTCATAAATTTCGTAAATTTGTTTTCTGAATCCATATAGCAAGTGGCATGACATCATAATGGTGAATCGGGGAAATCACAGAAAGCTTATGGAAATGTTAGATTTTTTTTGAATTTTCGATATATATGACAATAGCGCAAAAAGTATCAAATATGTTTTAAGAGAGAAAAAAAATGACTGTAGCTGTAATAACTATATGTTTATTTGTTTTTAATTGTGTCGCTCTTTGATGACCATTTATGAAACCTGCATTTTCGTCTTTCATTCTTACGTACGTCTAGCAATTTACAGAACTCAAATTATATATATGAATAAAAGGAGTTGTCGGTTTTATTTACGTCAATAATACAGCAAACAAACCACAAAAAAAAAAACGAACAAAAAGACATCTAGAGGGCAAAGTGAAATTTTCGGCTTGCAGTACAAACTATAAGTATAAGTATAAAGAACAGTTATATTATAACTATACCACGTCAAAAGTTCTCTCGTTCATTTCATTCCATAGTAGAGTGAAATGACTTACTTTCATTTGACCTTTAAAGAGGCAGAATTAGTTGACACAAATTTTGAAACTTATGATAAACAAGAAATCACAGCTTATTAGTGTTAGTGTACCGGAAACGAAGGTAACAACCTATCTGGTAAGTTATACCATCCAAGGACGTATATTATATTTATACGAAATACAATATTTACATTTCTTTACGGTCCTATGTTTTATATATAACGGTCTTTCTATATTTAAATGAGATAGGGTAATACCCATTGAATTCCTTTCTGCACGGGCGATTTCGGCAGTCAGTATATAAGGAAAATTTAAGGTGTGTTAGACAATGCGACGTTCGTTACAAGATAGTAAAGACTAGGTTAGTTTGATATACTATTCCCCTCCCACCCCATTTACCTATCTTATGTATGTAACATTATCGTTTCTTTTCGACTTGTGTATAGTAAAAAAAATATGCCTTTTTGTATGGCTGATTGTATATATTTATGTTGAACATGTTAAATTCGGTAAACGGACAGAAAGTCACAGGACAAAAAGTCACAGGACATAAAGTCACAAATTTGATAGGACAAAAAGTCACAGGACAAAAAGTCACAAATAATTTGTTGACAATTGTTTGAATATATAAGAGAAAGATCTTGAAATATTTTCTTTTTATTACATATATTCATTTTTAAGTTTGGGAAATTGTTCATAAGCCTTGATAAATGAACATTTTTTAAAATTTTAATCATGCAAAGGATATACTTCTTGGCACAATGAAACCATTTAAGTACCAAGCCACGTTGACATTTTGTTTTCATAACAATTATTTGATCATTATTGATATTTATTGAATAAATTTTTATTACAAAGTTACTTCACATATAATAGTTCAAGAAAAAATAAAAATTTTATTTTCTAAATTAGTGTTTTCTTGTTTAAAGAAAAATAATCTCAAAACTGAATTGTGACTTTTTGTCCTGTGACTTTTTGTCCGTGACTTTTTGTCTGTGGCTTTTTGTCCTGTGACTTTCTGTCCTACATTTCTAAATTCAAGGCGATCTTGTAGCGAAATCACAACACTATACTGTGTTTGGTTTTTTCTACGATATCTAGTTAAGAAAAAACTTTATTATCGGAGGGGTGAAACGAGGGAGAAAATAATATGTATTGACCTATAATGGTTTACTCTTATTAATTGTAACTTGGATGGAGAGTTGTCTCATTGGCACTCATACCACATCTTCCTATATCTATTATATACACATTAAGGGCGTTAGCCCGAATGAGTGCGTATTACTTACACCAATTGAATATTGTCAATGCAGAATGACAAATTCAATAATTTAGGACACGGACTTTCAATACTAACTGATTCCCTGTTAAGGAGGAGATCTTTTAACAATTTGACAATATGCTATTGAAATGCATGATAAATGCAGGGTATCCAATTTATTTATCGACATCTTTGTGTAAAAAAAGATACAATATTGCTAGATAAATAGGATACAAAAACACATTTCCTTGCATAATCTTATCTAAAATTGTTGAAAATTATTATAATTTGTGGGTATTTTTTTAACATGATACACCAAAGCCGAATTTTGTATGTTTGCATTACACCCTTGCACTGTTTGGATTAACGTATAAATTAGAAGGTAGGTTAGAAAGTCACAAAAAAAGAATTAAAGAACAAAACGCCATTATATAGTTTTCCGGATAATGTTTTTTTTTGGCAAATATTAAAAAAAATAATCTAAAACTTTTACATATACCGTGATAACATTTTAGGTAAACACATAGAGTTACAAATATACCAGCATACATTTTTGATAGAAAAAAAAACATGCTATCAAAGATACGTCAGAAATGCCTAGATCCATGCCTAAGAAATATACATCTTTTTATTGTTCACATTTATTTAACCTCCATCCAACAATGGGAAGGAACATTTGCCATAGCTGTGAAATGAATTGATTTAAAACGACTTTAAACATATTTATTTCTGTCTTGTCAATATCTTAGCATAGAATATAATCAGAATATTGTCTGTGTATAAAACAAGTATACCGCTGTAATAAAATCACTAGACAATTTATACATGTAAATATATGCTACTTCCTACAGAATTTTGTTTTGTTTTTAGTTTTTAATTATTTTTTTGTCATTATCGTACATCTTTTGTAACCACTAAATTTGCGGTTTTGTGATATGTTCGTGCAGTTTTAACAATGTCGTCAATAATGTTTAGAAAGAAGCTATTATAAAATGTGTCAGAACCCTAAATTACACATACATGAACGGAGCTATGATACCATGACAGGTGTACATATGATGTAATTGTGAAATAGCCATTGTAATTGCCAAGTTTTTAATAGTTTAAGGATCATTGATTGTGTTACCTTTTGATTATTAGCACGTGCCATCGCACTCAATCTTTATTGACAGTAAATATTAAATAACGAATACATTTATTACTATTAGAGGAAGAAGAAGAATTATTTGCTATAGTGCAACTTGAATAAACAAATAAATACATAATTATTTTATATTAAATACAATTGTTATTAAAATGAAAGAAAGGATTAACGCATTTACAAGCCTTAGGATATATACTCGATGCTGAACTTAAATTAGGTTGTATTGTTTTAACGGAAAGTTCTATGAGGATCTGTATTTCTTTTTTCTTTAAATTTTTTTGCCGATTTTCTCTATTCTTTTAACTTTTTGTCTATTATTATCAATACTTTATATTCAAGCACCTTATTATTCTCTATTCTTTATTTTTTATCCACTTTCTCTATTCTTTATATTTATTGCCAATCATTCTCCATTCTGTAATCCCCCCATCAACATCTTCTTCTTTCCGATGGTATGTTATTTATAGTGTTATTGTCTCGTCACGGTCTTAGTGCAGTTTTCAGAATATTAACTGCACTCGGAGACATGATTCCCTGATGCGGCCTTAGTGACTACACATCACTACGAAATAAAAGAAAAAAAAAAAAAAAAGACGGTTGTCCAAATATAAAAAGAATAACACGCACGGGGAATGATTACTAAATGCCACGAAGTAATTATTAAGTTTTAGAGGAAAGTATCGAAAGATAACGAAATTAACGATATAAATTATCTGACATAAAACATATTTGTATTTACGCTGATCGTTCCCGATGAAGTTAAATCCAGAACCGTGCTTCAGACGCAAGAAATTTATAAGGTGTTTTCACTCTTTTGTTAATGTTATGTTTAAAATTTGCAATTACTTCTTTTCAAAGAATAAGTAGATAAATACATAAATTAACATCAGAAAATAAAAAATAAAATAAAATCATAAACAGTTATATGCGAATAATTTATTTCCTCAACAAAACAAAATCACTAATCTCTTAAAAAAAGACCAACAGAAATAAAAAGTCAACCAATGATTTTATGTTGAATTATTAAAAATATACGTTTTTCATTCTGGCATTTATATTGTAAATTTTTTGTAATTAAAATGTATCATCCACATGAAGGGGCGTAACTCCTAGTATCATTCTGACACACTAAACGGATCTTAACCCGATCTGAAAATTTTGAACATTACTTTTTATGTTTGGTCTGAATTCGTCTAAAACCGTCTTAACATATCTTGTTTAACAGCTAGAGCCTTCTGTCTTGTTTATCTTGACATGAATGAACGGACTGAACACGACATATCTGAACAGCGTCTGAAAGTCTTAAAAAGTCTTAACGTTTTTCCCTAGCGGTCAATTCAGTCGATTAAGACTTGATCAGACCAAAATGACCGTTTCTGACTGAAATCTTGCTACTAGTGTAGACACTTAAGTGTTTAAAAAGTGTCCAAAATCTTTCATGAGATGAACCTGAATTTTGAGGCCAAAATCGGCCCTTACCGGACCTACTACTTTTTGCTTTGATCTATGTTACACTCTTGGTTTCGATTACACAGTAAGTCGTCCAATACTTCCTGTTTAACATTTATTATTTCATTTAATGTGACGGAATCGTATACCTGATGAAAGGTACGTTTTTAAGAGTAGTACAAAAAAACTATATTTTTAAGTTAACTAGTATTAATTTTATCTTAATATACTATTAACATGATCAATCATTGAACACTGTGTATGACTTTGTCTGATGAACGTTAAACTATCTACAGCATTATATGGGATTAGTTGAAAGTTCCAGGAAACATAAAGCGTCTTTATTAGCTCATTTACTACAGTGTACATGTACTAATTAAGAAAACATTAATATATTAGTCAATTATTTAATAAAGACTTATTGATTATAAATGACTACAAAGTCCAACCAGATTAATGGCAGATAAATGGTTAATAGCGTGATGTTAAAGGGTCTCTGAGTATTTAACAAAGTGTCATCAAAGGGTGCAAAATATTTCATAGAACCAAGAAATATTGTCTAACGTGTCACCCATTTCAAAAGAGAGTCGGCTTACCAACTTTGTAACTTAATTCATGCAAAGAAATATATTTGCTCTGACGTTTCTTATGTTTCGAAAATGGCAAATTTAGCCAAAAGTGTCGGCCAAGGACAGCTGCTCTCGTGTGTAGCCCACTTCTTAAAAGCGTTCCTGATGATGGGAAATCCAGAAAAACTGATTCGGACGCATGAAATTTATGAAGTGTTGTTTTCATTATTTAACTTCGTTATTCATTCCAAACGAGAAAAAAAAATCTCTTAATTTGTCTCCTTAATCGATTTATGAGATTTGAACATCGGTAAATACTGTTGCCAATATCTATTTCGATATTCCGCCTGTGAGTGATACGCCTAAACACAAGATAAAATTTCATATAATTAGGTGCTTTGCAAATCTTTGTTTAAATAGTATTTGTTTTATAAAATGAACTACAAGACAAAAGTAATTCCTATTGGATAGTTCATTTGAAATTATAATTTAATAAAGGGTTTGTTTTTTCAGAAAGAATAAAATAACCATTTGTTAAATCTAGTTTTTGCTACTAATTGAAATGATTACCTACGGTGTGTCTTTCACATAATAAATCCTGACACCCGTCGTTGTGTTATACGACAAGAATAATCTTAAAATGTGCATTATCTATAACATCATGACTTTGAAATTGTGATTGTGTAATTAATGTGTAAGTGTTTACTTTATTTCAATCATGTGCATAAATAAAACGAAATGTGCGCTTTGCACAAAACAGAGAGCAACACAACAACACAAACACGACAAATACGAGTTCAACACATGGTGTTCAATTATAAAGGGGTGTTTCTACACAATGTCAAGCTCTTAATCGTACCGAATCTAAAAGGAACAGTGAATATATTAAACACCACATTTTTAGAATTTCAAAATCATATTGACAAACTAAAACCACTAACGAGCTTTCTGACTTGGTATAAGTACATGCACAGGTGACCCTCTGAGGCAACCCCTCATTTTAATCTAGGTCATCGGGAAAAAAATCAACAAAAAAGGTACATTAAAGAGCAGGCGATAATAAAAATTACAAGAAATAAATAAGTAAAAGAATACACTTTAATAAATTTAAAACAAAAACCACAAAAACCGACAATCTAATATGCAATCGTATCTAAGAATGCTCATAGGAACTGAAAGTAAGCTCTGCATAGTTAACAATGGTAAATTGTCGTATTCTAAAATTAATTCTGGGACAAAATGGCCTAACTTCTTTTGCTCTTGCATTAGAATTAGGATTTCTGTACCCTTTTTAAATACCAAACTTTTTTGCAGATACACATATCAACAAATATGCAGACAAGAAAAATTAAGTTGCAACAGAAAGATCGCCGTTTGTAGCTTGAGATCCAGAAACATATAGTCACATAGCTATTTTAATTTGAACGATCATGAGATTGGTAATCATAACACACTACACTTTAACTTCTCTAATATGCACATGAAAGGAATACTTCCATCATTCCATGATCCCTCTTTTTTATACTCTGAAAATGAAGGACTGTAATCCTATTGAAGATAATACAATACACCATTAAAACATGATTAATGTTCTTTTCATTATTGAAATAAGCTATTGAAATTATTATAACACTAATTAGCTACTAGTATTTGTATAAATATGTGTTAAATTATGCACGACATTGCATACTGTAATTTCAGCTATAAAAAGAAGGATGCGAAAGCGGGTCTTTAAATAGATTGTGTCCTCTTTTTCTTGAAATCTAACGCTACATTTCAATTTCGAAAATTTATATCCTTTTTGGCAGTTTTATTTACATTATATGGAGTTTGAATGTGCAATGTAATAATTTGCCGATTCAATCAGTTTTTGCAATAGGTTAAATGTATTGATAACACTAACGAAACATTAGCAGGTCAATTGTTTAATCGACATTTAGCCATTAAAAGTCATCACTAGATTCGTTATATTCTTTTTAAACAATGTCTGCTTTTTGTTTTAAAAGATGATGCGTATATGCGGAGGAATTTTGTGTGAGTACAGCACCTTGAAAAGCATGCGTTTGCGGACTTGAACTTGAAAAGAGGCAAAACATAATGGAATAGAAATTGAGAATTTTGGAAAAAATGACAAAACATAGGAATGTCTGTGTAACTCTCATAATCTATCAGTTTTAAAAACAAGTGCACGAAGTTACGTAAATAGTTTATTTTATGATATTTGTATTTATCCAATAATTATCCTTGTTTGCAAAATATAATTTCGCTATAATTGTGGTAGGAGTGAATAGGACATAAATATTACTCCCCGTTAGAATTACACAGAACTGTCTCATCTTCAGATATAGATGCAGTTATTTGTAGTCTAAATGTGACCCATTTGTAATCATTCTATTTCTATAAATTAATTGTCGTATAACCCAAGAGTTTCATATGACAATTAGCTACCGTCTTCTATCAAGAGATAATAATCTCGGTATCAAAATGTTTAAATATATTGACACATTGGTATTATTTTGTAAAAATCAAAGATTGTTGATATGTATACCTAACTGGTATTAACTTTTGAGGCACATGATGACGTATCTAAGAATGAAGTTGTGCATGTGGTGATTTGTTATTTGGCGGTGAAACGGGATATTATTTGTTTACATTATGAGAAAATGATTAAAATTACAGCAAAGATTGGTCGTAATTTTATCGAAAATCTTAAACACCGTTTATATTTCAGTTTAACTGGTATATATTAGTTTACAAACTATATTCATAATATTTATTAGTACAGAAATTACAAATGTGTCAGAATGATATACGAAGCATTCCTATTATTCATACGTGCTGTGTGCAAAGCTTCAATAAAGCAAAAACATGAGTAAAATCGTATAAAAATACCGAACTACTTGGTAAGTTTAAAAAGGGCGCAGTTCATAAAAAATGTTTACATTATTTAGATTTTGGGTCGTGTCGGATCTGTTTACAACTCACTATATAGTCCGGGTTTTTTAATGTCGAAGGCCGTGCAGTGACCTATATGATTGCTTACATACAAGCAGTTTTGTCTCTCTTGGATAGTTGTACCATTTGCAATCATATGCTTTTGTTTTATATAACAGGAATATCAGGGCACTACTACTTTCCACTCTGCAATTACGTTATACTCTTTATCACACGTATGTCTATAAGTCGTAAAATTTGATGTAAAATGCATTTGGCAGAGTTTGTCTTTATTTTGATATAAACATTTATTTGTTACAATGTAAGTTTTAAAAATGTGGGTGTTGGTGTACTGACAATGATTTATTGTTTGGCAATGTAAATGTGAACATGTTTATTACTTCACTGACAACTTTTTTCATATAAAGTAACTACAACGGTCATTATTATTTCCGTTATCATTATTATTACATTCATTATTATTATTACTATTATTATTATTATTATTATTATTATTATTATTATTATTATTATTATTATCACAAGATCATTAATATTATTATTATTATAATTATTATTATAACTGTTATTAATATTATTGTTATAATTATTGTTGTTGTTGTTGTTGTTGTTATTAATATAATTATTATTGTTATTATTATTATTATTGTTATTGTCATTGTTATTATTATTGTTATTATTATTATTATTGTTATTATTACTATTATTTTTATTATTATTATTACTATTATTATCAATTATTATTATTATTTCAATTTATTTCCTTTCATTTAATTTTCTTTTATCATTCTTTCTTTTATTTTACTTACAGAGAGATTGCAAATGTATCTCCAAAACTTAATGGTACTTTGTTATCCTACGTGATTAAAAACTAGTGTATATGAGAGCATGCATACACATATAACTATGTTACATTTTTTCATCATTTATCTATTTATATATTTTAGAACATCTATCTGGAATGTTGGATAAAAGAACACTTAATATGTTATCAATGTTACTTATCCACACAACAGTTATGTTGGCAGTTACTGCACAACGTGAGTCATTTAAAGCAGAGGGTCAATGTAACGTGTTACAGCTCGAAATTTCAAAATGAATCTAATATTTAGAAATTTTGAATATATGATTTGTCTGTTAAAAACTGAAATATACCTTGCATTTTCTCTGTTTTACTGTTAAAGGATTATCGTTCAGGCAGGACATTTTGTATTTTATATGACGATTGGATTTTTTTTTTTTTTTTTTTTTTTTGCAAGTCATCACAGATATAAAATGCAAGTTCCAATATAACATCCTAATTTGGCTTTGTTAACAAATCCGTGTTCTAATTAGCACAAAATATGATTCACACATGCACACAAACTTACTGGTTATATTCCTGTTATTTTCATTTTTATCCTAATAAAAGAGGGACGAAAGATACCAGAGAGACAGTCAAACTCATAGATCGAAAACAAACTCACAACGCCATGGCCAAAAATAAAAAGACAAACAGACAAATAATAGTACAGATGACACAACATAGAAAACTAAAGACTAAGCAACAAGAACCCCAACAAAAACTCGGGTTGATCTCAGGTGCTCCGGAAGGGTAAGCAGATCCTGTTCCACATGTGGCACCCGTCGTGTTGCTTATGTTATTACAAATCCGGTAAATAGTCTAATTCGGTAAGTCACATTCGTGAAAAGGGAAGAGTATTATAGTTACGACATAAGGAACATATCCGATATCATTCGTGAAACGGTTATTCCATAACGGTCAACCAACTCGTGATGGCGTCCGTAAAACTTACGAAGGGATGATTTCAACTTCACCATTTGGAACTCTTGGTTTAATAGCTTCCTTGTGAGCAGCAATCCTCTATCAAGGAAATCATGATAGGAAACACAAGCCCGGGAATATCGTATCTATTGGGAGATATATACTCCGTATGCAGGCGCTGCTGGAATGTTGCTACATAGAAATGGAAAGTTCACAGTTGTGAAGCTGAAGTCATCTCTTTTGTCGTAAAGTTTTGTTTTCAACCGACCCTCATTGTCAATTTCTAGATGTAGGTCATGATATGAGGCAGACTTAACTGTATCTGTAGTATCCTTTATCTCTAGTTCGATGGGATAGATTCGTTCAACATAGTCACCAAATTTTGTATTATTTAGTGAGAGAACATCATCTATATAGCGGAACGTAGAGTTAAAGGATATTGCTAACTTCTTATCTTTCTTTCTAAGAACATGAAGAAGTTCCTGTATGAAGTCAGCCTCAAAATAATAAAGAAACAAGTCGGCAAGAAGAGGGGCACAATTGGTTCCCATTGGAATTCCGACAGTCTGTTGAAAAACACGTCCTCCAAACGTAACAAATATGTTGTCAATCAAGAAATCAAGCATCTTAATAATGTCAGTTTCAGAGAATTTTTTTTTGAATCAGAGTGATTCTTTACAAAGTAGGATTTATCCCTCCCCAAGACAAGATACTTGTATCTATGTTCGCCATTCTGTTTAATGAAACAAAGTAATACCAACTCTTTCAATTTGTCTTTTAGTTTGGAATGGGGAATACTTGTGTAAAGTGTAGAAAAGTCAAATGTTTTAATACTATTGCAAGATGAGAGAGTCTTAGATTGTATGTACTCTAAAAGATCTTTGGAATTTTTTAGTATCCACATCTGATTCACGCCACCTCTAGAATAGGCAGTTTCACAATAACTTTGGAGCCCGGCTTTGATTGCTGATAAAATAGATGTTAATAATTTAGAAAGAGATTTCGTGGAGCACTTGGAAGACCCAGCAATATACCGTTGTTTGTAAGGACACTTATGTAGTTTAGGTATCCAATACAGTGATATATATATATATATATATATATACATTAGCTGCTTACATAAAATTTTGTTATATATTTCTATTAAAACATCATTTACCCTGCTATTGGTTTTCAAACATATTGAATATGAAAATGTAATGAACATACTTCATTTGGAGAAAAAGGAAACAGTCAAACATTCCTAAGTTATATTCGTACGCTTAGACCTATAAAAGTACCATATTTGTCTTATTAGAATCGAAATAATTCCTTAATTTAATGCTCTATTCACATTTTAACATGAATACGCTTTACATTTGACCATATTTTACACCTCGCTAGCGCTCAGTGTAAAATATCGACAAATATAATGCCTATCCATATTAAAATGAGCATAGAGCATAACATGAAAGAATTATTTCTTAATTACTCTTAAATTATTCTGTCAATGTTGACCAGCTATGTCTAGTTTTAATATGATGATAAATGCCCATTGGAATGTTAATTTCTTAACTTAATTTGCGCACTTTACGACTCGCTGATTACCGGATGCCACTAGTTAAAAAATAACTGCATACGCATTCCAGTGGCAGATACTTGATGTCATCTCCGGTTTTGGGGATGCTCAATCTGTGTTTTTGTATGAAGTGTGCTATCATGGTGTTCTGTCTTTATTTGACTTGTGATTTATGATTATTCATTTATTATCTTGATCATCAAATATGGGAATAACGGTACGAATAACCTTAAGGTCTAGCAAAATTGATTTGATAATATCAATAATTCTAAATTTATGAGAAAAGAAACGTAAAGAAAAGACAAAATTGCCTTTAAAATCATATCGATTGTTCCTAAATAGTTCAATATACAGCAATCAGTGATGCAATACAAATTTTGGTCTATGCATGAACATTACAATTACTAGTATAAATTTTCATTATTGGTGTGTATCATCAAAATGTATGTTAGAATAAACGTTCCGTGACCTTTATACATTATGATTTCGAGCTATCATTTTGACATCTTACACTTGACGTATAGTAAGTGAAAATACTAGGTTTCAAAGAATTGATTGTCTAATCATTGTGAGATACTAAATCAGACGTCGATGGCTGTTACATGTATGTTCTAATGTTCCAAAAATTTGAAGAAAATATACCAACAAAACATAAGCTCAACTCCTTACAATCCACATAAAATCATCCCGTATTATGTTCATATGACAATGTATATGTACAAAATACACCATATTTGACTGGAGCGACATTGGATAAAGGAACTAGCAAAAGCGGAGAGAGGTTGTAAAATGCAAGCTGTCGTACATATCAATACAGAAGTTTCCGTACACAAAACTTTGTCTTTGTTGATTGCATACCTTTAAAAGATACCTTTACTGAAAAAATCAGCCTCCTGCAAATATTTGCTGCAAGTCCGCTGCAAATTTGCTGCAGTATTGCAGCAAACATTTAATAGGCATTTGCAACATGCTTGCTGAAAATGTGCGGCAGTCTGTCGTAAACAATTGACCATGCGAATGAGTGTTTGCTGCAGACCTGCAGCAAACGTTTATATGCAAATGAGTGTTTGCTGTAGACCTGCGGCAAACATTTATATGCAAATTAATCTTTCTCCTGCGTTTTTGCTGCAAACCTGTTCCAAACATTTATATGCAAATTGGTCTTTCTCCTGCGTGTGTGCCGCAACCTTGCAGGAACCACACAAATTACAATTTATCATTATCCTGTTGTTAACACATCAAATCATTCAAATTATACACAACAAATACTGAAAACAGGTTAGTTAAATACATATATACAACAATTCAAATACTTTATCGCTTGCAGAATCAGTATAAGTAAATATCTTTAATTTTAAGGAATACTATTGTTTTATTTATTAAAGTACTTAAATGTTATTGATCAACTTTAATAGTACAAAAGAAGTGCTCATTTGGATTGCATTAGATAATTTCATTACAAAATTGTCTTACTTGGAACTTAATATATAAGTTAACAAACCCAAACAGATTAGAGAGTACTGTGCATCAAACATGTTTGTGACTGTTTTTTCAAACCTTAAGGTATTAATTTGTGATGGTCGATCATGAATGAATACTTTCATACGTTTACTGTTCTGTGAATAATTTGTACTTACCACTAATAAAACTACACATTTAATATCCAATAACTTTCGGAACCTACAATGCCTCACTCATACATAACATTACTCAAACACCATCAGCATGATCAAGCACCAACATTCAAATTTTAAATTTCAGGAAGTTACCAGTAGGCATGCTCAGTTATCTTATGTAATTCTTGCAATGATCTTGCAAACATTTAGAATTGTCAAAGATATCTGCAATCTAGCTGCGAAAATTCCTTAAAGTCTTAATTTTCCTGCAATCTTACTGCAAACATAATTGTTTCTGCGAGCTTGCTGCAAGGTTGCAGCAAAAATCTGCAATGTTTGCAGGAGGGTTGCAGCTAGCTGCAAACATCTGCAAACATTATTTTCAGGTTTCTTACAAACTTTTTGTTTGCAGCAAACCTGCAGCAGGTCTGCTGGAGATCTGTTGCAGATCTGCAGCAGACATTACAGTTCTCTAAGGGTAATCAATGTAAATTATGGTTTTGTGTATTTATAATAAGTCATACCTGAATAATAGGAAGATATATCCAAACTTAAGAAGCATTGAAGCGGCTAATTTTCTTGGTCGGAAGAATTTGGTGCCTCTTTTTTTCCGGTACTAGATAGTAGTATGGTATTTTTTATCTCCGGATTAAATTTACGATAATGTCTACTATACCCGAATGATTTAGAGAACAGTTCAATTCCCAATATATCATTATACAAATCTTTAGACACATGCCATAATTACAAATCCATAAACAATTTGAATTCTTACTTATGATTATAGAATTTCACAAACTCTCCCCGCTTCAGCTAGTACCAATATCCGGTCTTGCTCCCATACGGTGAGGTAGGTACGCTAACACATACATTAAAATATGTCTTCCTGAATTTAGAACATCCTTCTCTGTGTATAATGAATAGTTGCAAATTGCGGTTTTAAAGTGTGTTTTCAGTTACTCAATTCAGAAACCATCATGTTGGTAGTGAAGAGGGTAAAGCCTCTTTCCGAAATATTTTTCATGACAAAAATATAGCAAGAAAAGCTATTCCGATTTAACAAGAAAGATGAAAGTATTTTTCATATTTTTGGTCACTATCTATGAACATTAGCTTTTATTTTCCAGACAACCTTACACCGTTTGGAATTGCTACGCAGGGTCCGATATCAGGGGTTAACGGTAAACCAGAAAATGCTATACAGCCACCTATAGGAAATAAATATAATCTGTCTATATGTACACAGAGTTGGTCAACTCATTCTGAAATACCAGCATGGTGGAGATTCGATTTTTTTTTCGACACAGCATACATTACGGATATAGCAATATACTACAGAGAAAACTGTAAGTATTGTAAAACAATACGCAGTGTCTCGCTCTGCATTTCGTTTAGTATGCTGGAAGACATAGCGATTGATAACAAATTTATATCGCGAAAAAAAACACTGTTTTTTGTTTGTCTAATGCAACACATACTTTGTGTTTTACTTATGAAAAAGTAACTGAACTCCCGAGATCGTTTTTTTTTTCGAATTAAAAACCAATTGTTTTTCTGATGGTGATCGCTTAGTCTTATTTTTTTTTAAATTTTAAACCGTATATTTAACCTTTTATTTATGCCTATATAAGTAATAGAAAAGGTTCCTAAAAGCTCCCTTCCTAAAGTTGTACATTTTCCCTATTTCATATTTATCTACTAAGATATACGATATGATTTCGTCATGTTTATCAAAATGTCTTGCACGATTCACTTTAGCTTTGTCTACTGTTTATTGAATCATTAATCATAAAGCATACATCTTGTATATACATCAAGTTGAATTGCTGTTACAAATAAATATTTAAGGCCAATTGTTCATATAAAAAATTATATTGATTACTGTTGCTCTTGTATTACTAATACATTTTGCAATAAAAAAGTTTTTGTCTATCCTAGTTTTGGAGATAATTAGCTAAAATATAATATTAGTCAAAAATCGTACTTCATTGGTAATATCTCCTTTAAGGAATAGTCCAAAAATTTTGATATATAATACTTTCATTTTACCGTTATATTCGGGCATAAGCGGCACACTCTTTTAAGAAGACATCCAGGGATTGATTGTGGCTAAGTTTGATACAGATTTTCACATTGGTTTAAGAACAGAAATTGGTTGACTGACATAGCCCTGAATGGGCAAAAATTACCAATTTTCTTCAAAAGCTCTGTATGTGAGTTGTAACCCCTTCTTAATTTGAATTTGTATCTAAGTCTTTATAAATTAAATAGGGTTTGAACAAGGTCTTGCTTCACTTTTCCCGGTACCGGTACATAATTGCATATGTCATGCAACAAATGAATAAAAAGAGACGTTGCGTTTCTGCAATTAGACAACAATCCAAACAATACGGAAAACTAAATGGCATCTAAAGGTCTTTTCTAACAGACTGTATCTGTGTGTCAAGCTCTAAACTCCCTACATCTGAAAAGATGTGCATATATTTAACAGAGACTATCAAAGATCTGCAATCAATTATTGATTTATAATGACAACAAACATAATCATAAAAAATCACTTCTAACTTTTTAGAAATTTTAAAACATCCCCCTTTCTCGATCAGCGGAACAGCAAAATGTACACTAAAGGAAAATAAAAAACTGGATGTGATTTAACTCGATACAAACAATACAATTAACAAAACGCAGGTACACAAAACAGTGATAAACAATACTGGAGTTAAGAATGTCAGCAATTATTTAGTTCGTATGCAAAGTGTTAAACATATTTAAATCAAATCACGCCTTCCTACACTCTAATATTGAAGCTTGTGCCGATTTGTACAGCAGCGTTATAAACAGTATAGGAAACCCAATATCGTGCAATGTCTGTTTTCGTCAAACTTGTTGCTAAGATAATTGACAAATAAAAACCCTGGAAAGGCTAGTAACAGGGAAATGTAGCCAAATTTCCTAAAAGTTCTTCTGAAATGTCTTTCTTCCAGTTAATCAATACAGATATTTTAAACAAAATTATGGACATTATATTGAATTATATAACATCAATATACATCCATAAAATAAAATTGGTTACCTTTATTTCAGATGCTAGTAGAATGAATGGATTTCGATTATATGTGACCAACACATCAACCATTTCAACTGAAGGTTATCTTTGTTATGCAGATCCTTTTCCTGCTCCTTATCCAAATATCACTCAGACTATTACTTGTAATCAACTTGGGCGTTATATCATTTATTACGATAATGAAGGATCCAAAGAAGAAACGATTGTCAAAGGGGGCATTGTTGAATTATGTTATGTTGCCATTAATGGTAAGATTATCATGTATAGAGAGTACCTTTCTCATTTGTAAAAACAAAATGTATTTTACGGCTGTTTAAGCTGTTACAGTTGTTTTCCATTCGTTTGTTGTTTTTATGCTTTTGATTTTGCCATTTGTGAAAGGACTTTGCGTTTTGAATGTTCGGTATTTTTGCTATTTTACTTTTTAGAGTTATTCTTTGTTTGCTTTAAGTTTCTGATTCAAAATAGATTTACCTCAATCATCACTGGAGACATACTTTCTATCAAACTATACATCTGTTGTATAACAAGTGATATCCCAAATTGCTGAAACATGAACATGAACATGGTGAATGGATGATTGATTGATTGATTATTGTTTGCGTAACACTTATACTGCCAACGGTCCGATCATATACGATTTACGTTACTTTAACCTGCCAATTGGGCGAACAAAGACCATAAGTGAAATAAAAAAAATTCCGTGGTTAAAAGGACAATTGACGAAAAGAACACGTTTTTCCTGATAACACAGAAAACTAAAGATTTTGCAACACGATCTGCCTAAATACCGGGCATAAATTCAGATCCTCTGGAAAGGTTTGCTGTTTTTAATCCACTTGTATTCCGTGTTACTCATTGCAAGAAAAATTTCGATCGTTACTTGCATTCGGCATTGTGTCAATCTAGGACATAGGAGTGTGGTTATGGAAAGCGGAACACCTCCTCGGACACCTGTTACAAAGATATTCTATAACGTTTAACTTAATCATTATGGCGTCATGAGGAATGACTCTATCATCACAATAATGACATTAAATATGCCTGTGAAGTCGGATTTGTATCGGATATTAATTTTGCTCCCATGCTGCGTTTTTTCATTGTCTAAATGTGTCTGTCTGTCAGTATTTCGTACTGTTGGTTTATATTTCATCTAGTGTTTCTCTCCTATTTCACATCGTTCAAACACATCAATCGATAGTTTTGATCAAATAGAAGTAAATGTTCTAGAGAAGTATCTAAAGCTTCCATACGATAGGAAATTCATAGAAAACCGTTTATTTCAACATGATATTTGTAGGCTGCCTTAAAGGTGCATGGGGAATAAACTGTTCAAATGCATGCCCACCTAAATGTATAGACCAACACTGTTATCCTGAAAACGGTTCCTGTGTTTGGGGATGTGATCCTCAGAACTGTTTAAATAACAAATGCGACAAAGACACTGGTGCTTGTAGTGAAGGATGCGTAACTGGATGGGACGGACATTTCTGTTACTCGAGTAAGTCTTGGTTATATGTTAGCATTTTTGTTGTTAATGATTATGGGCAACAGTTTACTGATGTTCAGATCTCATAAGTACATTAGTGAGATACAAATCAGGAAAAAAACAAAATATGGGGTAATCTCCGGAACTCCAAAAGCAGTGAGATCGTGTGTCTTAACTGCACAAGTGTGTGGTTTTTTTTTTGCCATGCATACGCTACCCGCCGTACAATTACACTAATAATATCTAAAACCGCGAAAAAATGTAGCTAGTTTTTTTAGACAAAGACATATCGTATCGTTAAAGCCATTATAAGACTTTGCCTACAACAAATATTCTTTTCTAAGAAATGGGCAATATATGTAAAAACATATTAATTCCAATACTTGGATTGAAACACACTATGGTTTCTTTGAGGAGGCAATGACAATCTGTTCTAAATAAACATTAAAAAACATATCTACTTGTATGTAGATTGATAATATTCAGACTTCATTTTGTTTTTAATTAGGGTCAATGTATACTCACACGTACATAGATAGCATGGATAGTATAATAGTGTACCTAAATGTAAGGGTAAAATAACCAAATGTATCTTGAGCTATTATTCTATATTTAATCATAATTTTAGATTAGTTAGTACCTCATAATACATATACATATTTTAATGTCAGGCCTATTTAAATCTCCAAGTACCAACGAAGTCGAGTACTCAGCAGTTGACCTTTGCAAAACATTGAAAGAGCTATCAGTTGCAAATTAAATATTTTTTATCACAGAAAACGATTTGATTTAGAGAACATGCTGTCAAAAAGCTTATCTGCTATGGAGATTTTAAGTGTCGCTTTATTTTTGATATTTACTATAACTGACATTATGTTGCTATACCATTTAAAGCTTTAAATGTACATAATATAATGTACATATATTCACATTGATGTGTTTGCGTTTCTAATCGTTTGTATATGTGCTATGTGTTTGGGTTTTAGTCTTAATTAAACTTTTGCGTACCTTAAGATATATTGTTTTCCTTTCTCATCTCTTTATTTGCGTTTATTTTAATTTTAGATTCTTACCTTAATTAAAATAATTGTAAAGGGGAATACAATGTTCAGCTGTATTCTAGGTATATTTAACTATTCATTGAAATTTGATGAACCTGTAATAGATGGAAAATGTTTAAAATATGTTTAAATAAAAAGTTCATACTATTCTTTGTAATGATATGTACTTAAACTAGATATTGTTTTTATAGTTGATAAAAAAGAAAAAAACAGCCTTAAACAGTGCATTCCATTTTATTGAGCTCAGAAATATATTGTACATGTATATAAACATCATGTTTTAGCAATTTCATAATTTCACAGAAATCACTTCATAATGTAATAATGTAAGAGTAACATTTTGTTTTCTGTATGTATGTTTGTTTTTTTGTTTTTTTTTTATTATTATTTTTATTATTATTAACGCTAATTTTGTCTTTTCTGCCATAAAATACCAGCCAATTCGTCCAAGATAATCTAGATTAAAATGGAACAGTCGTCTAATGGCAGTAATCCCTCAGATTGAAATAGGTTTATGGTCCATACAACAAGTTCTGTAATAGTGTAAGTGTTGCAAAACAATACGCAGTGTCTCGCTCTGCATTTCGTTTAGTATGCTGGAAGACATAGCGATTTATAACAAATTGATTTCGCGAAAAAAACACTGTTTTATGTTTGTCTAATGCAACACATACTTTGTGTTTTACTTATAAAAAAGTAACTGAACACCCAAGATCGTTTTTTTTTAGAATTAAAAACCAATTGTTTTTCGGATGGTGATTGCTAAGTCTTTATTTTTTTTTAATTTTAAACGGTGTATGTGCCTATATAAGTTATCGAAAAGATATACGACATGATTTCGTCATGTTTATCAAAATGTGTTGCGCGATTCACTTTAGCTTTGTCTACTGTTTATTGAATCATTAATCATATAGCATACATGTTGTATATACATCAAGTTGAATTGCTGTTACAATTTTTTTTATGTCGATTTCATTTTACATGATAGTAGGGAAAACGATAGATTTGGTCAAAAAATAATATTTAAGGCCAATTGTTCATATAAACAATTATATTGATTACTTTTACTCTTGTCTTGCTAATACATTTTACAATAAAAAAGTTTTTGTCTATTTTAGTTTTGGAGATAATTAGCTAAAATATAATATTAGTCAAAAATCGTAATTCATTGGTAATATCTCCTTTAAGGAGTCGTCCACCGATTTCGATATATAATACTTTCATTTTACCGTTATATTCTATGTCTAACCATGGCGGTCATGTTTTTTAACGGGCATAAGCGGCACACCTTTTTAAGAAGACACCCAGGGATTGATTGTGGCTAAGTTTGATACAGATTTTCACATTGGTTTAAGCACAGAAATGTGTTGACTCACATAGCCTTAAAGGGGCCAAAATTACCAATTTTCTTCAAAAGCTGTGACCCCTTCTTAATTTGAATTTGTATTTAAATCTTATAAATTAAATAAGGTTTGAACAAGGTCTTGCTTCACTTTCCACGGTGCCGGTACATCATTGCATATGTCATGCAACAAATGAATAAAAAGAGACGTTGCGTTTCTGCAATTAGACAACAATCCAAACAAAACGGAAAACTAAATGACATCTAAATGTCTTCACCATCAGACTGTATCTGTGTGTGAGGCTCTAAACGCCTACATCTAAAAAGAAGTGCATTTATTTAACAGAGACTATCAAAGATCTGCAATCAATTTTTAATTTATAATGACAACGATCATAATCATAAAGAACCACTTCTTACTTTTTAGAAATTTTAAAACATCCCCCTTTCTCGATCAGCGGAATAGCAAAATGTACACTAAAGGGAAAAAGAAGACTGGAAATGATTTAACTCGATACAAACAATACAATAAACAAAACGCAGGTACACAAAACAGGGATAAACAATACTGTAGTGAAGATGTCAGCAGTTATTTATTTCATTTGCAAAGTATTAAACATATTTAAACCAAATCACGCCTTGCTACACTCTAATATTGAAGCTTGTGTCGATTTGTACAGCAGCGTTACAAACAGTATAGAAAACCCAATATCATGCAATGTCTGTTTTTGTCAACCTTGTTGTGAAGAGAATTGACAAATGAAAAGCCTGGAAAGGCTAGTAACAGGGAAATGTAGCCAAATTTCCTAAAATTTCTTCTGAAATGGCTTCCTTCCAGTGAATCAATACAGATATTTTGAACAAAATTACGGACATTATATTGAATTATATAACATTAATATACATCCATAAAATAAAATTGGTAACCTTTATTTCAGATGCTAGTCGAATGAATGGATTTCGATTATATGTGACCAACACATCAACTATTTCAACTGAAGGTTATCTTTGTTATGCAGATCAACCATTTCAACTGAAGGTTATCTTTGTTATGCAGATCCTTTGCCTGCTCCTTATCCAAACATCACTCAGACTATTACTTGTAATCAACTTGGGCGTTATATCATTTATTACGATAACAAAGGATCCGAAGAAGAAACAATTGTCAAAGGGGGCATTGTTGAATTATGTTACGTTGCCATTAATGGTAAGACTATCATATATAGAAAGTACCTTTCTCATTTATAAAAGCAAAATGTATTTTATGGCTGTTTAAGCTGTTACAGTTGTTTTCCATTCGTTTGTTGTTTTAAAGCTTTTGATTTTGCCATTTGTGAAAGGACTTTGCGTTTTGAATTTCCTTGGAGTTTGGTATTTTTGGTATCTTACTTTTTATAGTTATTCTTTGTTTGCTTTAAGTTTCTGATTCAAAATAGTTTTACCTCAATCATCGCTGGAGACATACTTTCTATCAAACTATACATCTGTTGTATAACTAGTGATATCCCAAATTGCAGAAACATGAACATGAACATGGTGAATGGATGATTGATTGAATGATTATTGTTTGCTTAACACTTATACTGCCAACGGCCCGATCATATACGATTTACGTTATTTTAACCTGCCAATTGGGCGAACAAAGACCATAAGTGAAATGAAAACAATTCCGTGGGTAAAGGACAATTGACGAAAAGAACACGTTTTTCATTAAACCACAGAAAACTAAAGATTTTGCAACACGATCTGCCTAAATACCGGGTATAAATTCAGATCCTCCGGAAAGGTTTGCTGTTTTTAATCCACTTGTATTCCGTGTTACTCATTGCAAGAAAAATGTCGATCGTTACTTGCATTCGGCATTGCGTCAATCTAGGAAATAGGAATGTGGTTACGGAAAGCGGAACACCTTCTCGGACACCTGACACAAAGATATTCTATAACGTTCAACTAAATCATTATGGCGTCCTGAGGAATTACTCTATCATCACAATAATGACATTACATATGCCTGTGAAGTTGGATTTGTATCGGATAATAATTTTGCTCCCATGCTGCGTTTTTGCATTGTCTAAATGTGTCTGTCTGTCAGTATTTCGTACTGTTGGTTTATAATTGCATCTAGTGTTTCTCTCTTATTTCACATCGTTATGAACACATCAATCGATAGTTTTGATCAAATAGAAGTTAATGTTCTATAGAAGTATCGAAAGCTTCCATATGATAGGAAATTCATAGAAACCCGTTTATTTCAACATGATATTTGTAGGCTGTTTTAAAGGTGCATGGGGAATAAACTGTTCAAATGCATGTCCACCTAAATGTATAGACCAACACTGTTATCCTGAAAACGGTTCCTGTGTTTGGGGATGTGATCCTCAGAACTGTTTGAATAACAAATGCGACAAAGACACTGGTGCTTGTAGTGAAGGATGCGTAACTGGATGGGACGGACATTTCTGTTACTCGAGTAAGTCTTGGTTAAATGTTAGCATTTTTGTTTTTAATGATTATGGGCAACAGTTTACTGATGTTCAGATCTCACAAGTACATTAAGGAGATACAAATCCGGAAAAAAACATTATATGGGGTAAACTTCGGAACTCCAAAAGGAGTGAGATCGTGTGTCTCAACTGTGTTAGTGTGTGGGTTTTTTTTTTTGTTGCCATGCATACGCTACCCGCCGTGCGAATACACTCAGACATAGTGTCACAATCAGGAATATAACAAAATTGGTCAATTGGTAGTACAGACTATTTTCTGTTATCTGAATATCTAAGACTGCGAAAAAATGTAGCTAGTTTATTGAGACAAAGACATATCGTATCGGTAAAGCCATTATAAGATGTTGCCTACAACAAATATTTTTTCCTAAGAAATGGGCAATATATGTAAAAGCATATTAATTCCAATACTTGGATTGAAACACACTATGGTTTATTTGAGGAGGCAATGACAATCTGTTCTAAATAAAAATTTAAAAACATATCTACTTGTATGTAGATTGATTAAATTTTGACTTCATTTTACTCTAATTAGTGTCAATGTATACTCACACATACATAGATAACATGGATAGTATATAGTGTACCTAAATTTAAGGGTAAAATAACCGAATGTATCTTGAGCTATTATTCTATATTTAATCATAATTTTAGATTAGTTAGTACCTCATAATACATATTCATATTTTAATGTCATGCCTATTTAAATCTCCAAGTACCCACGAAGTCGAGTACTTAGCAGTTGACCTTTGCAAAACACTGGAAGAGCTATCAATTGCAAATTAAATATTTTTTACCACAGAAAACGATTTGATTTAGAGAACATTCTGTCAAAAAGCTTATCTGCTATGGAGATTTTAAGTGTCACTTTATTTTTACTATAACTAACATTATGTTGCTATAACATTTAAAGCTTTAAATGTACATAACATAATGTACATATATTCACATTGATGTGTTTGCATAACTTATCGTTTGTATATGTGCTATGTGTTTGGGTTTTAGTCTTAATTAAACTTTTGCGTACCTTAAGATATATTGTTTTCCTTTCTCATCTCTTTATTTGCGTTTATTTTAATTTTAGATTCTTACCTTAATTAAAATAATTGTAAAGGGGAATACAATGTTCAGCTGTATTCTAGGTATATTTAACTATTCATTGAAATTTGATGAACCTGTAATAGATGGAAAATGTTTAAAATATGTTTAAATAAAAAGTTCATACTATTCTTTGTAATGATATGTACTTAAACTAGATATTGTTTTTATAGTTGATAAAAAAGAAAAAAACAGCCTTAAACAGTGCATTCCATTTTATTGAGCTCAAAAATATACTGTACATGTATATAAACATCATGTTTTAGCAACTTCATACTTTCACAGAAATCACTACATAATGTAATAATGTAAGAGTAACATTTTGTTTTCTGTATGTTTGGTTTTTTTTATTATTATTTTTATTATTATTAACGCTAATTTTGTCTTTTCTGCCATAAAATACCAGCCAATTTGTCCAAGATAATCTAGATTAAAATGGAACAGTCGTCTGATGGCAGCAATCCCTCAGATTAAAATAGGAGATATGGTTTATGGTCCATAACAACAAGTTCACACAGTGTTATATGTTTTACTGCAGTTTTAGGTGGTAAGAAATCATTTAATAAAAGGTTGTATTATTGCAACTACCTACTTGGTAAATAATACGAAAACACTAGTACAACGATACCATGCAGTCAATAAAACTGAACGTTGAGTAAATCGACAATGACCCAAAAACCATTAGACGAAACACTTGTCTTCAAAACAATTTAAAAACACAAATATCGGATTGCCACTGACAGAGGATGAACTCAGATTATTTTTGAATTTTTTCTTAATGTTCAAAAAGAAGCACCGACCATTGTTCTCGTCACAAGATAAATTCAGATTGATTGATTGGTATTTGTTGAACGTCCAGTTGCAAATGTTCATGTATATTCAGGGCGAGGACATCAATAAATCACATCGATAGGCTCTGCAAAATGGTTTCAGCGAGAATTAAGATAACGACTGAAAACGAGGATATTTAGGATAGGGATAGGCATTTTGTCTTGCAACCAGCATAAACAAACCCCTCAAAGAGTTGGTTAAAGGGTTCTTTAATGTTAAGAGATCGTGGCACTCCCTCTTTACGAAGCATTGGATTAATGTCATTTATTGGTCGGACATGGCTATGTATCTCTACAACCAAAAAAAGCTGTCCTATTAAGCAATAGATTTACTGCTTGATGCGGAAGCCAGGATATGACAATGTTATATACCACATTCAACCATTGGGGTATAAACTATCTGAATTTAACATGTTTAAGTTGGAATCGTTGAAAAATTTTGAATAAACATAGGATTCTAGAATTCAAAAATAATTGTAAGCAAGGAAGTAATGATGGGAGTTTGACAAGTTAAATGGCACACATCTATAATATAATAGTATGAGAATGTGCACATAGTTTTTAATCAAATGAAACTGAAATGATCATTCTCCATTAATATGTAGAATATAATTTCTGACGAAGAACACTACAATAGTCATTCTAATTTGAAAATATTCAGAAAACAATAGACATTTTCTTTTTCTTTATTAAGTGACAGAGTCGATTATAAACATATGTTCAACTGCAAAAACTACATGTAGGTACATAAAGAAAAAAAAAATAAAATGATTACGAGGGAAACATTTGCCCTTGATCATCCATATAATGCTCTCTTTGCACTTCTATCTTCGCCATGGGCTTTGCAACAAGCGGGACAACGATGAACGTTTTGCAAGAAAAGATATTCCTTCTTTTTAATTTATGCCTGTTGTAGTTTTATTACAATGACACAATTTGTGAACTGGATGTCAACCATGAAAATGTAAAGTAGTGACGAAGAATACGGGTTTAAAAAATGATTTGTGATTATTTTTTTAGGAAGAAAGGTCCAAATATTTCCAAGAAACTAAGCATTTAACAAGGAACCAATTAAAACCACAAGTGGAAGGATGGGCAATACAATGGAAAAAAAAAGTACACTGAAAATCTGGTAAATATTTAAAAAAGACGCATTCATTGATATTACCCATAAAAGTTGGGCTCATATCTAGAGTTATTTTCCAGTTGCAGCCGTTTTTTTTTTTTTTTGCTTTACTTTCCACAGAAATGGAAACTGGATTTCGTACTCAAATGTATTTCTTTCTCTATTTTTACAATTACTGTTAAATTGATTTAAATTTTATGTGACCAATGTTTCAAATATTCCACTAGTCGAATATCTCTATTATGAAAATCCGGATAATGACCATCCTAACATCCCTACGAAAATATCCTATAACGAACTTGAAGGCCGTATGGTGACTTATATGTACTGTTGTTTACATCCTCTTGGTCAATTTTGGATAGTTGTCTGTTTGGCAATGATATCACATCTCCTTGTGTATTGGACCAAAATGCCATTTATTGCGAGACCACCAATAAATCATTAATGTGTAGCATTGTATTAAATAACACATCAAATTCAAACTACACTACCTCCAGTCTTTTTCGAATATTTATAAAGGCCTTCCGTGTTTGTTGTAGGTCTCACACATTTTCACCTGAAGCATTAATGAAGCTATATGTTATTCATGGTAATGTGTATCTAAAATATAACAAGTGGTATCATTTATTGAACATGGTTAATTGATGATAGATCGATTGAAAGTTCTTTGCCTAATCTTTAGTAGAGACTATTGCATGTGTATTGAAGACGAGATCAAATAGGTAATTTATACAAAGATAAAGAGAGTATGCGTTTTCTCTACTAAAAGCCTTCTTTCTATTCTGACCAGAATGACTGCGGATTTATATATGCAAAAAAGCAAAAGAGATACTTCTCCCCAAGGTCCAACAAGTGATTATAAATGACTAGTAGGTTTAGAATAATTATTCATAAAAATACATGTGTAAAGGAGTCAGTTTTTGTATATACAAATTTACATTTGTATGTAAAAATCATTTACATTTCGCGCGTCCGAAGCACTTTTCTGGATATATCTTCATCTGGAACACTCCAACCTAAACATTTAAAAATCAGCGATGTGTAAACATTTGGAAACGTTAGTAGTTGTATGAAGAAAAAGGACTTAATCATAATAGTCACATACATTATTTTGTTATTTATGTCCGTTTGTTTTCCTGGGTTTTGTCTGTTTATGTGTATGTGTCAAAGGTGACAGATATTTGATATTTGATAGCCTCTGTAAGATTTATTCACTTCTACTCTTTGTTTTGATTTTGTTACATCGTGTCACCTTTAATCTTAGTGTTGCTGATTGAGATTTTATTCATATGTAGTTAATAATATCCATCGGAGGAGAGTGGCATTGTGTGCACAATAATAATCTAATAACATAACAAATTTCCTGATCTATCTAAAATCAGGAACACTCGGAGTAAAGTATCAATAATATAAAGATAGCACTTTTTGTTTAAAATTGTACTGAAGCTTCTAAAGAAACAACGAAAGGCTTACCATCTTCGCCTTCCATTAATGCAAAACAATATGTCATCCCAATTAGAAATCGAGTATTCCAATTTTTTGTTATCGGCTGGTGTACCTCGGTATATAGTTCATACTGTCTTGCGTTAAATAGTCCAAAGGAACAACAATTAATGTATTGACCAATATGACTTTATGCGTTTCATTGGAATTTCAGAAAAGACAAGATAAATATTAAAAGTTAGAACAGTAATAAAAGTTTATTCATAAATACAATCTTTATAAACGGGTCTGTAATTAATAGACGAGTGACATCAACCATAAAATTTTATTTTCAATGCATCCACCTAACATACGGCTAAATCATATACCATTCGAAAGCACAACATCTGTACTATCTTTTTTGCCCGGTCGTCGAAAATTCGTATGGTGCAGTTTCCGTCAAATCACAACGAAAGGTCAAGGTGAGATAACTTCTAATTTTACAAGATGTCAGTATTTTTGCATATTCTGTCTTCTGAATAAAAATATTTTGTATGGACATATGGAAATCTGTTATGATAGATGTTGATAGTGACTTATCAAAAGCACTTTGAAAAATTAATGTCGGATTTTTAATAAATAGCGTCGTTTTCCAGAAATTCCATTGAAAACGACAAAAATGCATGAAAACCAAAATTTTTGTGTGTGATTCAACTGTTATTCACCATAAAACAAAATAAAATACTTTATTTAGTGCTAAGGATGTTTTTGACATAATTAGATTACTGCAATTCGCTTCTTGTTAATTAAACAGCCAATTATAACAACCTTGCAGTTGCCCAAAATTCCGCCATTTGCAAAATATAGCTTTGTTACCTTTTTTTTTAAAAACAATTTGAATATAGTCGGTATAAGGTTGAAAAACCCAAAGTTTAAAAGTACAAAAATGTTAAAGGACAGAATTCACAGGTCATTCATGGTTTTAGGGGAAAGTTTTGGAGCGAAACTTTGATATTTCAATATTTCAATATTTATATGTTTTCTTGGTTGCTTATACTGCACCTGGCTTTGACTGAGAAAGCGAAAATTATTATAAGCTAGCCAATGAAATGTGCTTTATGCCTGGTCAAGGTATTTAATCCTATCAAACTACGTTATTCTTGTACATAAATTGAGACTGTTGGAAATACAATTACTTACATTATTTTTTAGATAGAAATTCTAGCAATTTGCAATAACAATACATACACTTTCTGAATAGTTACATATACATGTATTGTAATATAAAGATGATTGATGAATTGTTGGTGTTTGACGCAATTTTCGGTTCAGCACTTTTGGCCACTAAAGTATTTAGCGGCGATCAGTTTTTATTGGTTTAGGCCCACGGAGTGCCCAAGGAACCAACGACCTTTGGTAGGAAAACTGGCAATCCCCGTCAACAATATATTAGTTATAGCTATTATTACCAAGGACGAAATAACTGTGTACAAACATCTACCAATCAGCATTAATTACTTTTTGTAAAAGTAGGCAACCTCTTACAAAACAAAGCAGTTTTGATATTGATGTTTACTTCAGCCAAATTTTACAAGTAAAGTTGTTAAAAAGAAACAGGAATGTAAATGAATTTGAACCACTTTCATTTCAAATTTAATTGGCCATGATTTAGCATTAAAATTTCAATGTAGATGTGCCACATAATATTTTAAGGCATTTAGAAAAAGAGCACTATTTCAGTAGATCATCTGTTAAGCATTGGTTGGACATTGGCATATTAGCCTAAAGATAGCACATGTACATTAAGAATAAATATGGATAACATTAGGTTCTAAAATATCTATACAATTGTGAGAAATGAAAATTGTGGTTGAATTTATCTAGTGGCAGTTGTTATCTAATAGCTCGTTTCTGTGTTTGTTGCATTGTCGTTTGTTTTTTTGTTTTTTTTTTTGTTGCACTCCAGTGTTTCTGTTATTTTGTTGTTTCCTCTTATAGTTGATGTGTTTCCCTCGGTTTTAGTTTTGTTCGGGTTTCAAATGGTGTGAATATCTTACAACAATAATAAGTGATATATAAGTTCATGAAAAAAAACCGTACAAAATGTTATGTTTAAGTATTAAAAACATTGGTTAGAACAATCTGACTAAAAATCAGATCTATCACGACTCGCCTGCTCATTTATCGTATGAGAAAAACCAAATCAGAGTGGTAAATTTTAAGAGATTATTATTTTTAACTCTATTTAGATATGTCTAATATGAAACAAATCCCTGCACGTATAACTAGTATACATTTTTGTTTAGGGGCCAGCTGAAGCACGCCTCCGGGTGCAAGATTTTCTCGACCTATTGGTGACATTCGGCTGTTGTCTGCTCTTTGGTCAGGTTGTTGTTTCTTTGACACATTTCCTATTTCCATTCTCAATTTTATCTATTTGTGCACTTTGAACTTCCTTAATTCTACCAAGCAATGTCGGAGGAATACTGTTCATTACAATGTAACTATTTTTTTTTGCTAGAGAGAGAGAGAGAGTAACGAGGTTTATGACAACTGTTTTCCAATCGTTTGATGTGTTTCAGCTTTTGGTTTTGTCATTGATAAGAGACTGTCCGTTTTGAATTTTCACTAGTAGTTCGGTTTTTTTTTTCTTGTTTGTTTTACCTTTTTTATATTTAGCATCAATATCTGAGTTTTAAGGTACGATGTCTTTTTTTCGTCAGCTTTCAACCTTATAGTTTTCTTTTCTTTGTTTGTAAAAAGGAATAAAATAACAAGGAGGCAGTCTCAAACCATAGTCGAAGAAAACAGATGACAGCATGACCAAGGCGAAAAAGTAAGTCAGACAAACAAAACATCTTAAAACACTATACCGAAATGTGCGAACACTACATAAACCAGTATGGTGATTACAGTTGCTCAGGAAGGATATTCAATCTAACTTAATCTGAACTATTAATTTTCAGTCATATTTAATAAAACAACTAATACAGTATATAATAATGGTCTAACATTTAAAGGAATTAACCAGATTTGATATTGAAAAGCGCATGGCACAAACAGTTTTCATTCGAACATTGAACGACAATAAACTTCGTCACATGTCTTTCCACATCGGAAAACTAATTTTTTACCAAATATACCTTTTTTTGTTCTTTAAAGTTCTTCTATTGCCCTTTTTTTTAAATATGGTTGATCATTATCTGCCGATATTGGCAATATTATCTAGCCAATAAAAGCAAAATGATCCCCATTTGCAGATGGTGTTTTTTTGGGCAACTGCAAAAGATTCATTAGAAGGCTGCATCTTGACCTATATCATATAAATTGCAGTTTAAAATGATGAAAAAATTCCTTTGGCCTATAAACGATAAATCTATTCTATTTTTGACATACAAGTATGAAAACTTAAGAAAACATTTAGATTGTATTGAAGTTTTTTTTTAAGAAATGCAATTTTCTGTAAATTAGCGCGATCAACACTTAAGGTTGCATTTGATTTGGACTTATGGTAACTTGTTTTATAAGGTTCAGATATTTTTTAGAAAAAAATATTCCATACAATTAACAGAAAATGGCATTTTGTTTAATTCTGTCAAAATTTAGGAATGTTCAATTTTAACCTTTGACCTTGATTTAACGAAAATTGCACCGTACGATTTATTGACGACCGGGCAAAACAGAAAGTACAGGTAATTAGCTTTCAAATGATATATGATATAGCCGTATGTTAGGAGGGTGCATTACAGTTGTTAAATAGGCGTCATTTTGAAAAAATGTCACTCGCCTATAAATAAAGGACCAAAATTAACAATCTCAAATTTGTTTTGTTTGTTAAAATTATATATCTTTAGACGAATAGATGTAATCTTTCATTATGTTGAAGCAAATCGAATCATAGTAGTTACTGTAAAGCTTATTCAATATTTTGAAAATTCCAATTTTCTTTAAAAAATAAAACCAAAAGAAACACGAAAATTCCTGTTTTTCATTTTTTTAAAGAGTACAATATATATGCATGTGTAAATAGGTATTGCATTGAATTTCATACTTAATCAAACCCAGAATGCCAAATTATTACCTTTGACTCATTAATAAAACAAACTGATTAATTACTATAATTAGCATTAGTATAAATCATTATAATTATCTTTTGTTAGGATGAATACTCTGAGGTAAATGAATTAGTTTGGGATGAAATATAAGCAGATGAGGAAACAATACACGTTGGAACAGTTATCTGGATGTAAATGACGGATATAATGAACTCGGAAACACCCTTTAATCTGCCTCAACAAAGCAGTGCTGAAAATGAAGGATAGGACATGGCTATAATGAAAACAGTAAAGACTTTGAATTGCGAAGCAATAAATTGTGGAATGATTATCGAGGCTTAATTAGCGGATACAAAAGGCTAAGTTCACAACGATTACCAACCAGTCCATAGAAACAGCTTCAAAAGGTAGTTGCTGAAAATAAGAATAAACTGACAAATGAAATGACAATTTTTCACAAATGATTAAATCGTCAAATGATTATAAATCTCAAGTATTAGACAAAAATAGATAAGAGCGACATTAAAACGTGTTACTTACTTATCATATATTCATACCAGTTCATGTTATATTGACTAATCGGTATATATATTTATATATTTATATCATTGTGTCTATTGTGGTTTACTAAAACGTTACCCCATAATTATAACAATTATTTTAATAAATTAATCAAGTAGTAGTAAAGCCATTTCGTATAAACACAGTTTCGACCATTTTGATTTTATTGTTTTATTTGTTTATTTTTATTATCATTATGTTTTTTCTATTCTTTTTGTCTCCAAACTAACTGTTAGATGTTCCTCCGAAAACACATGGCATGCTAAATAAATGTGTTTAAAATGATTTGTTCTTACTTTTTTCCGTTAAATGTATCACATTCATCATTATGCAATTGTATCAATGTACATGGTTTAGTCGATGAGGCAAACTTACGAAAATTTCTAAAATAGTTACTTGCGTCTTCAATTTTCTCTGGTCAAGCTTGACCAAAATTCCAATATTGTAAGCCCCTCCAGACAGAAGCTAACCAGTTATTTCTTACTACGAAAATGTTTCAAAATTCTTTAAATATGCTTCTTCTCCTCCCAATTTTACATGGTGTTTGATACACCAAAAATAAACAAATAACCTTATATTTCAAACTCCCAGAGAGTATCATCAACTCAGTCGTCAGTGTTTCGGTATTGACATAATTAATAACAGATTTTTTAAATAATCCGTTGAAGAATGCAGAAAATATTAAAACTAAGGTTTTAACTCCGTCTATCATAGTTAACCTAGATGAATGTGGCAATGTTTTAGGTTCCTTCTGGTCATAAAGCTTACAAGTTTTTTAGGTCTTATACATGTACATCATTGGGTTTCAGATGTTCAAATTTTAGTGGAGGTACATCCAAGAAATAAAAGCTTTGGACGCACTTAATAACAAGTGCTATTTTCATTAATCCCTTCTTGTTTAATGCGTAAAGCGTGTTTCGAAAAAATACCAAAATTCCATATCGACAATTCACCAAAAAATTTTCAAGACTAGCCAAAAACTAAGAGGCAATAAATCATAAGATAAATAACGAAAAGTACATGTTATCTGTTTGTTGTGCTCACACATTTTTGTCAATTTAATTGAATTCAATGCAACTGTCATACAAGTGAGAGGCTAAGCTAGCTATAAAACCAGGTTTAATCCACAATTGTCTACACGAGGAAATGTCTGTACTTAGTCAGGATATGACAGTTTTTTTTCCATTCGTTAGACATGTTGGATGTGTTTGATTTTGCCATTTTTAAAAGGACCTTCCGTTTTGATTTTCCCTTTGAGTTCGGTAATTTTGTCATTTTTCTTGTTACAGAACGACAACATATTTTTTTAAGAAAATCAAGAAAAGACAAAACAAATAAAAAAAACTCTTCGATTTCATGTTTCTTATATTCGAGTTATTGTGAATTGTTTTTTATTTGTTTGTTTTCCCTTCTTTGAGCAATGGCGTTGTTTTATATATGGTTTGTGTTTATTTATTTTCATTTATTCTTTTGTTTTACATTCAAAAAAACTAATTACGGCTTGACAAGAATCCCGTCATAAACCTGGATAAACCAATATAAACAGAAACAGTAAACAGTGAAGAATTCTAAGGAAAACCCCAAAAAAATCATATAGATAAAGCAGTATTAAAAAGGGTGATAGGAGATGTGTCATAAAAAGATAATCACATAGAAGTAAACATTCTTAATATTCGATATAAAGATCAAACACTTACATATTTACAGCGTACAAGAGTATTAACACTATTATTCAAAAAAAGACTGTCAATACATGATTATCGTCGTCTTATTTCTCTTTTGAATATTGACATGGAACTTCTTTCGTACGCTCTAGCACAACGATTGAAAAAAATCCTACCAAATCTTATTAAAGAAGACCAGACTGGATAATCATGTAAAGAATAGATTTATTTGTTTAAATCTTAGACACATACAAGATATTATTCAATTTGATTTCACTGATTTATACACAATTGAAGGGGCTATAGTCTTTGTTGATTTTTCTAAAGCGTTTGACTCTTTAGAATGGAATTTTATGATTTCAGTATTAAAACATTTTGGATTTAATTATTCTTTTATAAGATGGTTAAAACCTTGTATAGTGATATTCAAATATGTACATGTATTAAGACCAATGGTTGGATATCAGATGTCTTTAAAAACACCAGGGGTATATGACTAGGATGGCCTTTATCGGCTTACTATTTGTTTTATCGGTTGAAATCATGGCGTCATGATTAAGAACCAATACCGATTTTAAAGGTATTCAATTCAAATTGGATGGCAAAAATCATAGTACAAAAATTTTGCAACCAGCAGACGATACTATTTTATTTTGTTGTTCCAAATACGACGTTCAATTAGCTATGAACGAAATTGAAATCACTGGATCTTTTTCAGGATTGAAATTAAACAGAAATAATACAGAGGGGTTATTGGTAGGAAAGCTAAAATCATGTAAAGGCAAAATTGAGAGAATCAACTGGAGTGATGGACCAGTTAAAACTCTTGGCATATATGTTGGGCACTGTAAAGAGGAATGTGAAAAACTACATTGGGAAATTAAAATTGTATAGATGAATAAATCATTTTGTTATTGGCACAACAGAAATCTTATTATTTTGGGAAGCAAATTTTGATAATTAAACAATACTTGTGCTAGGAACTACCTGTATAGTTCCAAAGAAATATTTGAAAGAAATGAAAAAAAAGTTGTTTTAAATTCGTTTGGGATAATAAACCAGATAAAGTTAAAAGAAACTCGATCATTGGTATATATGAAAGGAGGGGATTAGATATGATAGACATAAGAAGCTATGTGGGTTAAAAGACTTGGTCTAGTAAGTGATTGTGAAAGAGATTGGAAAATTATACCTCAGCACTATGTTTAGAATTTGGGTCAAACTGGATAGTGTTACAAACAAACAGCGGGGAAAAGCCAGACGAAAGCCTTGAAAGAATCCATGATGTTTATAAAACTATCCTTAAATGTTGGAAATTAACTGGTAGGAGTTAACTATAAAGATTTTAACATTTAGAGATATAATTACACAAATATTATGGAACAATAAATTTATTAAATTTGAAGATATAGCTATAGTTTAAAAGAAAATGGATTAAAAGCGATCCTATTTATGTACTTGATATCATAAATGAAAAGTAAAATCACAAAAATACTTAAATCAGAGGAAAATTCAAAAAGGAAAGTTCCTAATCAAATGGCAAAATCAAAAGCTCAAACACATCAAACGAATGGATATCAACTGTCATATTCCTGACTTGGTACAGGCATTTTCTTATGTAGAAAATGGAGGATTGAACCTGGTTTTATAGCTAGCTAAACCTCTCACTTGTATGACAGTCGCATCAAATTCCATTATATTGACAACGATGCGTGAACAAAACAAACAGACACAATAGGTAAAAATGTCAAAAATAGGGGTACAGCAGTCAACATTGTGTTATCATCTTAATCACTATAAAAACAAATAAACGTAACAAAGAAGCACAAAAAGGCATACATCAAATTTAGCAACCTCATTTTACTTTTTTATTATACGATTTTATTTATATATATAAAATCCACCCATAAAGGATTAAAAGATTTTAAGTACTGGGACTGAATCCTTACCCTGACAGACACATGGTTAGATTAACATTAACTTTGACGTTGAATCGCGCGTTTGACGTCACACAGGTAGAAATAAAATAATTTTGTCGTTCAATGTATTACGGGATGCATAAGTTCAGAGTCACGTCAAATACATATCACAAAAACAGACTTAACAGTAAAAGTAAAAAGGCATACATCAAATTTAACAACCTCATTTTGCTTTTTTATTATACGATTTTATTATATATGTAAAAACCACCAATAAAGGATTGAAAGAATTTAAGTACTGGGACCGAATCCGTACCCTGACAGACACATGGTTAGATTAACATTAACTTTGACGTAGAATCGCGCGTTTGATGTCACACACGTAGAAATCAAATAATTTTGTCGTTCAATGTATGACGGGATGCATAAGTACAGAGTCACGTCAAATGGATATCACAAAAAAACAGACTTAACAGTAAAAAGGCTGCATTTCACAAGATGTCATTTTGAATAAACTAAAAAAATTAACCAAACTGGATAGTTGAAATTAATTTGATAAAGAAATCAATACCAAAAGACTGGGCAGCAGTTTTAAAGTCGGAAAATTCTATAAAAAGCACTGTTAATATAAAAATAAACAAATTATTTTATTACAAACTTTATATAAGACTCTGATATATAAAACAATTGAACTATCTATTGGACCAAAAAAATGGCTGTGTATACTTAATGTAGATGAGGTGTTACACCAAAACAATTCTTCAAATATCTAAAAGAAAATAAACTTAGAATATTTAGATGGAATATATTACTACAACATATTCTATCTACAAAGAAACTTTCTTTCAGGTGGAAAATTGTAAACAATAGTTTTTGTAACTTTTGTACACAAGAAGAAGATTATGATCACTTCGTTATACTGTGTCCGTATTTAGAACAATTTTATAACAAAATAAAT